GCCCCCCCCCCAGCAGCACACCAGATCCAAAGGTGAGCAGCTCGTGCTTGCTTGCTTGCTTGCTTCCTTGTTTGGTTTCGTCTCTGCATCGAAAACAACAGGAAAAGCAAATACAAAAAGAGAAAGGAGAACAGCTGCCAAAAGAAAGAAAGAAAGATAGATAGATAAATAGATAGGTATAGACAGATAGATGGATAGGCCAAAAAGCCAAAAGCCACAAAAGCCAGAAGCCACAGAAGCCAGAAGCCACAGAAGCCAGAAGCCAGAAGCCACGAAAAACAAAAAAAATCAAAAAAGAACCTAAAAAAACTCCAAAAATAAATACCTCCCTGAAGTATCTCAGGCGCCCCACTCCACTATTCCCCCCCGGTACCTGACCTTCGTTCTCGAGGTGCAGCGCAGCGGGAAAAACGGTTTCACCCCCACAAAGGCCGTCACCCAGGCTGGAGAGGTAGATGATGGCCTTGCTGAGTGGGTTTTAGCTGGACTCCTCCAGGCGCTCTGAACTGAACTGGATTCAGTTTTTTTTTTTTTTTGGGGGGGGGTGGAATTCGGGCAAAGGAATCTTTGAAATCTTGAGGGCTTTGAGGTCCCACAGGTCACTTGCATTCAACTCCTGCCCCTCAACAGCCCTTCCACTGGTGGACGGTGAGATAAACATAGATAAACTAGTACAGTAAGCCATTGACTCACCAGTTTTTGCAAGCATGACCCGAAATGAATTACGATTCATGCATGAAATCAGTCAACCAAAGACTCTTATCCCGGTGGCACGAAGATGTGAGGCGATTGCTGCTTGCGTGCAAGGGCCGTGAGGTCCCCCCAAAAAGGGATCCTGCAGTTAATGTACTTATTGATCGTGAACGTTTTGTGACCAGCTGATGAAATATGTTTGAAATTTTGGGTGCGACAGGCCAAGGCACACCCTTTGAATGAACTGGGCCCTGTCATCCCCTGTCCATTCTTCTGCGGCACCACCAGCTTCTTCAAAGATGGAGTTTGCACGACTAAAAGTGCAATTAAACAACAAACTAACTCCTCATCCGGTGTCTAACGAATTCATCAGGAGTTAGAAACACCTTGCTTCAAAACGGGTGGCTTGGCATTTAGCTACAAGAACTCAGGAGTCTCAAATTCTCCAAACCCAACCACAGGTTCAGGTAGCGCGGCAGCCCTGCCTGAAGACTCCCGAAACACTTGGAAGCGCTCCCCCTCTCTCTCTCTCTCGTATGCTCTTCGTGTGCTCGTGTTCAGGTACAAAACTCTATAGACTCTACAATGCACGGTGTTCTGGGTCGACTGGACACTTTGATGCTTATGAACATTGCCCACCTCTCCCCAGCAGATCACATGCTGCATCCAAAGTGCGGTACAAAAGCGCCAGTGCGCTGCATTGGTATCGACCTGTAGGCAGGCAGAGACGAGTCTTCGTGCACTTGCAATTCCAGTGAATATCTATATAAATAGCACCTGTTTCTGTAAAGATTGACCCTCTTTCATAACATGCATGTTCATGGTCTCCCTCTTGGACGGACATCACCTCTGGAAGGGCTTGCGAACTCTGGTCATTATAGGGTTTGATGATCTTTGCATCGCTTGAAAATATCTCCTGTGACACCCATCTGGCTTGATCCCACTGAGAGGCTGACATGAAGTCCCAAATGCCCAGTCACGCCACCCTGTGAGGCCTGGCCGAGCCCCGCGAAATGTCGTGGAAAATGTCCCCAACTGTTCTTATATCACGTTACGTTTAGATCCATGTCGTTTCGTTGACATGAGTCCAAGATCAACTGGTTAGTTGTCTCCACCATCTTGACCTGATATCAACATGTCAGGGTCTATGTAGCATGAAGCTTGGATGAAGCTCAAGGCTTTGACGCCTTCTTTGCCTACAGCTGGCCCCTATGAAAAAAGAAACATGCTACAGAAGCTCTTTTCACGGAGCTCTACACACTTGGCACCTGTAGAAATCAATGACTACAGCTGCCAGAATTGCGGCAAACCTCTTTCAGTTCAGCTCGTGAAAAAGGGTTTGCAATAGAATAGGAATGAGCAGAGGATTTTGATGCACATCGTGCCTGAGCCTGGGGCGGCGTCAGCGTACCTTGGATGTGACGCAGAAAACGAGCCCCTTTAGATTTAGATCCTGCAACTTGGGCAATCTCCGAGGAGAACTGTAAATCATCTACTCTCACTCTATCTCTCTCAATTTTTCTCAGGCTCTCTACGGATCATGGAAGGCGCCATGGCCCATGTTTCACAAAACCTATACTGTATAAAATCAGTTTACACTATATATATATATATATATCTTTTTACATGCATGTTCTGCAGTTCTCTCTTGCAGCCCGTGTGAAACACAATTTGGTGTCCCTTCGAGTTCTCCGACCAAGCGTGGGACATCGTGGGACCAAATTCCATCCCAGGTACCCACCAGCGCCGTCTCATCCGGATGGATCGGCCCTCCGCTGACCTCCGCGACCTTCTCCTCAATCTTCAAAATCAGCGCCCGCCTCGGTTCAGCCGCTGGGGGCGGCCCAGCGAATTCGGAATACACATGTCACAGAAAGCAACTAAAATTGGAAGCCTCATGTCATTGATCCAATCTAGCGACGTTGCACTTGTAGCAACTTGTAGATCACAAAGTATTACTGTAGTTAAAGTAAACGTGCAACTTACTAGTAGCAAGAACGCTAATAGGAACAAAGGGCATCGCTACAAGGAGCAAGGACGCTACTACTGTAGTAACAAAGGTCATCCAACCTGATCATTCCTCACTCCTCCAGGGTGGGCACTGCTCCGGGCTCCAGCGAGCATCCTCCAGCTCCAGCGGCGCTCGGAGCTTCGTCTGGAAATTGCTCCGCTCTTTGCGCTGCAGAATCCTCAGCGATCCAAGGGGGAAAAACAACCCCTTTGCCTTTGATACATGAAAACGACATCCATGATCATCATGTATGGAATATGGCTTCCAACAAATACCAGAATTGTAAACCATCAACATGACATCCTCTATCCATGCATGGGTTCGATGAAGGTTTGAAGCAACTGAGACACTTCTCTATAGATTTACTTATTTTGCCAAGCTTCATCTCAATGAGCATTCGACACTCGGCTGGGCTGAGAAACTTCCGCCTTAACGCATCAGGGGGGACGCGTTAAGCGGTTTGTCAAGCTTGAACCTACCATTGGGAAGTGGTTGAAATATGTATTGACACCATGAGGTCATTGACATGCAACTTCACAAAAGTATTCGAACCCCCAGAGGTTCCGAATGATCTAATGTTTCTGTGGGGTGTGCTTGTCCAGTCTGTGACAGCAACTTCCATGCAATGCTGAGGTGGGTGTTTCACCCTTGAAGCAAACCAAAAGTATCAAAAAGTCAACAAAAGCGTCACCACAAGCAAGAAACTTTCATGAACCTATCCACATCAACTACGGTAACATGTTAGAGAAACTGCCGCATCTAACAGGATATGGGTGGAACTGTGGACCCATTGTATACACGCACAATGATCCACAAAAATGGGGAAGGATTCTGAGCAGTGAATTTCTTACACTAGTTTGATGCACATCCATTTCTTCGGTTGCATTGCATGGGAGAACAAAACCCTGCAAAACACCCAAGAGCGAAGTCCAATACATCTTCAAAAGGAAATGCACTGTTCTAATCATATCCAAATATTTGTAACTTATTGGAGGCCCCACTGTAAATCAGTGGCTTCTGAATCGAGCCTCCTCAAGCTTCCATCGCACGTGGCCAGGTGGCTGGAGGAAGATCTTGGGCTTTCGCGAGATCAGCTCCAGGGGGCTTTCGACAAAGTCCTCTTCGCTGAGCTCCACCTCTGCGGCAAGGAGCTGCCAAGAAGGTGGCCAGTGCGGCTGGGAGCAGTGGAGAAGCTTGATCAGGAACTTGTCTAAATATGCCTAAATATTGCGGGCTCATGGTCTAATGATCAAATGATTATGAAGAAGCACAATTGATCTACTATTCCCTTGCAAGTTTGGCAACAGCAGGCTGCAACAGTTTGAGCGCTTCAAGGCAGTCTGAGGGTTTGGTTGCGATTGGTTGCGAGACGGTTCTGTGGCCTCCTTGTGGAAAGCAGGATGCCGCATGGCATATCCTCTAGGCGAAAATGCGATCGCGCCCAAATAAAATCAAATCACAGTTTATAGTTCTAGACACTAGACAGTGACCCAAATATACGTCTACACACACTACTTCAGGAGGAATATACTTCTTCTTCGTGCCAGTTCTGGCATGTTCTGGCACCATCATTTATGTGGATCAGTCGTGGTCGAATTAGGAAGCCCGTTTCGTGTGGCCACTGTGGACGGTCCATTATCACCCGTTTGGAGAACGAATGAGGTACCACAAGTGTTTTGCAATGTTTTGCAGGGGAAGGTTGCCTTCAAGAAGCAAAACCATGTATCCTAGTGGTGCATGGCATTGCTCAAGAAAGTCTAGCAGCGCAAAGGAAGCCAAACAACCCCGATGTTCAATGTTAATCTTGTAGAAAACCCAGTTTCATGCATGCTTCATGGTAAACAAATTGAACTCGAGCCATCAAGTTTAGGTTTAGGTGACAGGCGAAGACCCTACAGCAATCACGACTCCCCGAGCTACAGGTCCCTCCGTCCTTGGCTGACCACTGGGTTTACTGATCCATCCGTCTCGCAGGAACCTGTGCGGGCTTCCAACTTGAGGCAGTTCACAAGAGACAAGCCACTGCTACCCCTTCCTACTCAATCGACAATGTGTGTCTTTCCACGCGGCCAGTGTCATGCACTAACCCTCTGGACATATCTCTCCCTCGCGCCTACCGCCGTGTACTTCTCGCTGAAGTGCCGCTCCCAGTCTTTAAAGGCCTTGTCCACCGCCTGTCGCACCTGCGCGGTGGCAGGTGGACCGAAGACCCGCTGAAGACGGCCGCGGTCCGAAGAGTGGGACCGGAAGAACGCCAGCCGGGTTCTTGAAGAATCCATGAAGTCTCTTCGGAGACTTATGCCACGCATTAAGGAGCAAGGACGCTACTAGGGGCTCCTGGCCGTACTACTAGGAACAAGAAGCTACTAGAAGCTTGGGAGCAAAAACCCTGTTGCGTAGTGAGAATGCCGTAAGAGTCTGATTCAGTATATGGTAGTATAGCACACACATGGTACACAGCTACTTTCAGCCACTTGCCGCATCCCGCCATATCCCAGCCTCGCTGGGTGACATTACCTGCCTGAGGGAGGTGGCACTTTGGAGTACATGCTCGGCACCTTTAAGTAACACAATTGACACTGTTCGACTATACAATATACTATATCTTGGGTCTATCTCATTACCTGTAACCGTGGATGATGATTGTTAGTAGAGGCCTTGTCCAAAAACAGTGATAATTGTTAACTGACTGTTACAGGTAATGGGACAGACCCAAACTATATCTAACTTGCTCATATGACTCCAAGACCATCCAAAAAAGGAACAACTCCAAACAACTCCTTCATACTTGTTCGTTGCTTCTTGCTTTGCTCCATGCTGGGTGAGGAATTGATCTAAGGCCAGCTGCATAGCTCCTCGCTTTGGTATCAGCAGGGAACAGCGGTTACACTGAAAGAACATGGTGTCCAGCGGAGACTCACCTGACTTTTTTGCATGTCAAAGAGTCAAAGGCCTCGTCGGCATCGAGTATTTAGACTTCCAGACCGAGGGCACACACTATCTTACGGGCACACCTTCCAAGGCGGATGGGATAGGAATTGTAGCCCTACAACTACTTGAAGGTATGGTCTTGTCGAGATTTGTCTCTTCAAACTACTCTTGAGAACACTTAGGCCCAATCCTTGCTCGGGATTATGGATTTCTAGAAGGAACAGTCAAGACTGTAAGACTTTACTGGGCTCGCAGGACTTGACAAAAGACACTGACGCACAAACAAACACCAGTTCAAGTCTTCTACCTGGCTTTCTGTCCCTCACTCTGCCCTCCATCCTCCCAAGCCCAGCTGCTCAAGCTTCCGCGTCAACGTCGTCAAATCCTCCAAGTCCCGCCGCCCCACATCGCAAAGCTCCACAGACATCGTGGAGAGCGACCGGGCACCTGACACATGAAAGCTGGAATGAATAGCCAGTGGTTGTTGTGTGCGCGCACTGGATGATCCATCGTATGTGTGAATTGCTTGTGGGGCTGCTTTCCAAGGAAGGCCCACCTCAAAACGATTCTTCATAATTCTTCATATATGAGTAATGGACAGAACCGGATGTTTTCGGAACCTATTGGAGATGGCCGTGGCCGGCCCCACGAACCCCCGTGACATTCCGAAGGAAGCGGGCCAACCCAAACCAAACAACATATATAGGTATATCATAATATATATATAGCACTATATATATATATCAATTTCTTGCAGAAGCTGGCACATGGGTTCACTTTGACCACTACTTGTCAACAACGACTCGCACTGCCTATGCATAAATTCATCACTTGATTTTACTGACTGTACAGGTATGTCACTATATGATCTATGCGCAGATTCACCGAGAAAGCACTGGTCACTCCATCCGCATATCTCCGCCCGGAGCACACGGCCCACTGAGCATCCCGGCATTCGTGGCCAGCTAGTGCATGATAGGGTCCCGGGGGCGACCTCAGCAGACTGGGCCTCTGGACAAATATGTTAAATAATCGGCAAGCCTCATTTAGATTAAGGACCTCGTTTCAAGAAAAAGATGCAACACACACACACACAAGTATCACTCGAATTCATTACCTGTATTGCACTTTATTCTGCCAGCACATTATGTAACATCCGTATTGAACAAATGCCATTTAAAGTAAAGAAATACAGCTGTACACACACAAAACAGGTGCTGGAAGTAAAAGAGTGAGTCAAGGAGGAAGCAACTCACTAGAAGTGGTTAAGACTCTTAAAGCCCCTTAGGGGAAGTCCCTGCTCTGCTCCCTTTAGAGATCTGGATGGTTGCAGCTTCTTAGATCCCCCCAGCCCCCTCCAAACTACACGCCAGCAGCCAGGCAGCCAGCCAACGAGTTTAGGCCAACCAAAGGTGGCAAAGAATGAACAGAAGTTGCTTCTTCTCTACCATGAAAAGGTCGGGGCTATGCTATCTTTTGGGAGGGTGTTGGGCAAATACGTCAATGCCAGTACCAGTCCCAAGCCAGGCTGCTTCCCATACAGATCCCTCCGGTGGCTCACATCGTAGACCTCGGTGGCGGACTGTCGAGTCTGCAAGGCTTGGGCTTTCTCAGCCGTTTTGAGCCGTGTCTCAGCCGTGTCTGAAACAACTTTGGTGCTGAAGACTCCTATAGCTTCTTGTTCCTAGTAGTAAGGCCAGGAGCCCCTAGTAGCGTCCTTGCTCCTAGTAGCGATGCCCTTTGCTCCTAGTAGCTTCTTGTTCCCCCTTTGGTCGCCTGTCCCGGTCAAGAATTCCGAGCCTTGCCATTGAAGCTGATGTAGATCTCATGCTTTGCTTCGCCATCATAGCGTGCAAGCTCTGCGGCCGTGAAGGCCGACATGGGCGCACAGCGCAGGCGCTCCGTAGTGCTGAAGGGTCTCAACAGCGTGACGATGGGTCATCTGAACATCCATGTGGTCTCGTGAAGGATTCTGTGGTTTTGTAAGGCTTTTTGTATGGGTTGGTTACGGTTGGTTCTGTTTTTTTCTCAACAGTTGTCAAACAAACAACTCAAATCTGATCGGTGTCCTTTACAGTTCTTTAATCACACTCCGTTCGACGTGCCAAACTCTCTTCCTGATTCTTCCTGCTCCGTGTGAACCGCGTTGGATCGGTCGTCGAAAAAAGCGGGAGGAATCCAAATGTCTGATGGGGTGATTGATGTTCAAGTCCAGTTACTAACAGAAACCAAGGACTCCAGTGACCCCACAACGAACTGAAGAGCAAATCCACTCTGAAATGCTTGGGAACTCTCTTTCTAGCCAGTTTATGTCGGGGGCCAGATGTTGTAGGTAGTTGGGTGATTTACTCCAGCCTATCACTCCACGCTATTGTTGCTGTTAGCCGATTATTCATCTCCAGTTCATCCTTGGAATCATCTAAACGGATCGCAAAGCGGGTGACGAGCCTTGACTTGAGGAAACCT